CTTGGGAGTTTGAGGAGCTTGTCGACGCCCGGCCAGCTGAAGCTGCAGGAGGCGGTGGAGGTGTACTGGAGGAAGAGCGCTGCAAGCAATGGTGAGATCAGCACGGAGCCTGCTTGCTCCACCACTGCAGGAGGCCGTCAGATTGGGAACCGGACCGCCCGTTCTCACTAGGATCGGCACAGAAAAGAAGAATCAGATCAAGAATGAACTCCTGGTTACGTCCTTCCAGAGTCCAGGATGTCCATGAACTGCCTGTCCTCATCACTGGAGACTCTGGATCACACTAACCAAGCCACTCACTAAACGACAACGGTGTAAAGTTCTCCTGTGATATTTGGTGACTCAGCAGTTGATGAGCGTGCCTCTGGAAGTCCAGCAGCTTGGCTTTGGCTCGGTCACGGAGAAAGTTCCTGTGGGTAAGCAACAGCTCAACACTCCGCTGCGAGTCACCACACCGACGAGGCAAGTCCTGACACACGGAAACAGCAGGCACACTGCAGCACTGATTTCATTCACGTTCATTAATTATCAGACTCCTATTTTATCGCTCAATCAATCACCAGGTTTTCTTATTAACATCGACACTTGAGGTCTTAATTTCTCCTCGTACGCCGAGAGTCACTAAGAGTGTTGAGATGCTCTTAAGAGGTGCTCAAGGTAAGTCACTTATACAGCTGTGATTAAGGTCACACTACAGCGATAATATTCTAATACTGTTCCATGGAGATGGTTTCTACTAGCATTAGCACTTACCGTCATAGTTCGTGTATGCGTGGAGTCGGTCAGTACGACATTAAAGACGTAATCGCAGACCGTCTATTCAGTCATCCTTCTTCAATCTGTATGTTTTGATGCAATAATTTGACTTCTCTAGTGATTCCCTGAAAGAATAAGACTAATGATACAGCTCGAAGAAAACCTTAAATACTTACAGGGGAAACGCTTAAAGACTTAAGGGTGTTTTGTGGCCGCCAGACGTCTGTTTCTCGTGTTTTTACCCTCTGGAAGAGCTCGAAGCCTCGTAGGAGGGGCCTGATGCAGCCCCGCCCCAGCAGCGTCCTCCAGATGATTGACAGGTCGTGCAGCGTCCAGTCGTGGTGCTGGGGGGCTACCACCAGGTGGGAGGTGGCTTCCCTCGCTGTGACGTCATCGACGGAGGTCAACACCCACACACACAGGGAGGGAAGCAGCTCCGCCCCCTGTCGATCAAACAGGTCTGTCAGTGGCACGAAACACATGAGCTGAATTTAAGTTTTATAAAATAAAACGGTCTGTTCACCTGTTGACAGGCGGCGAGCACAGCCAGGGTCGGGCAGCGCTGCACCAGAGCTACCTGCAGCAGGTACCTGCAGGGTGCCGCCTCCTCCTGGCTCTGCAGGAGGACCTGGAACAGCTCCCTGGGGTGCTCCGGACACCCGGGGGCCGTCTCTGAGCTCAGAGCCTGCTCCTGCTCCTGGGAGCCACAGCTCCTCCTCTGACTGTACACCTGCAGGTCCTGGAACGCCAGACTCAGGTGGGCCTGGAGGGCGGGGCTGAACTGAGCCACCAGTGACCTCACCTGCAGGAAGATCCAAATATGGTCATTCACCCGACTGCGTCAACTAATCTCACAGAGCTTTAATGTCAGGATGTTGGGCAGGTGTGTGTGTGTGTGTGTGTGTGTGTGTTCACCTGCTGGGGCGGGAAGTTGTGCAGTTGGACAAACAACAGGAAGTGGATGAACTGTCCGTCACTGGCGCAGTGGGCGGGGTAAACAGAGCTGAGCTTCAGACCGTGGAGCTGACAGAACTGAACAGGCAACGCCCACTCCTGAGCCGCCTCATAGGATGACCTGATGCACACACACACACACACACACACACACACACACACACACACACACACACACACACACACACACACACACACACACACACACACACACACACACACACACACAAAACCAAGAATCCAATATCAACAATGACACACATGTTCATTTTGTTCTGCCACCAACAGTCACAGGAAGTGACGTATTACGACATCAGGGTTCGAACCTGCTGATGCCCTTCTGCTCCAGACTGTCTGTCACTGCAGCCTCCAGGTAGCCAATCAGCTCCTCCGCTGCTCCAGGCTCCGCCTCCGCCAGCTTCACTCCTTTAGACACTGAAACAAGACAAATCACTGTGTTTACCAAGAGTGTGTGTGTTGTGTTGCAGCAGAGTGTGTGTGTTGTGTTGCAGCAGAGTGTGTGTGTTGTGTTGCAGCAGAGTGTGTGTGTTGTGTTTACCCAGAGAGTGTAGATGTTGTGTTGGGGCAGAGTGTGTGTTGTGGAGGTTCTGGTGCTGCAGGACGGTGTTCATGGCTCTGATGTCGACTCTCAGCTTCAGGCTACAGACTCCCAGCAGCTCGCAGAAACAAACGGCCGCAGACGCCACCGCCGGCACGTTGAAGCACTGCAGGGCCAATCTGTACACCTGCTGCCAGGTGTGCTGCACGCTGAAACACACACACACACATTACAGCGTTTCTTCTTTCATGTTTCCTGAACTACGGAAGAGCAGCAGGGCCACATGTGAAAAAAAAATTACTTCCAACTTTAATCTCAGAATTTTTACTTTAATCTCAGAATTTTTACTTTAATCTCAGAATTCCGAGATTAATCTCAGAAATCTAAAAAAGTTTTTTTCACGTGGCCCTAATCCTCTTCCGTACTGAACAGCTGTAGTTTGGTGCGTCACACTCACAGCGGCGTCACGTCACTGCAGCCGCTCAGCTGCTGGACAAGGAAGGTGGCGTAGGCGAAGGACGGTCGGCCGTGACGGAGGTAGTACAGGAAGTCCAGGTTCTCCACCAGAGCGAACCTGTTGACCAGGTGAGGGCTGGAGAAATGAGGCAGCTCCGACGTCTCTGTGGAGAAAGACCCCCACTGTGAAATCCCTGCAAATGCCTTAACCTTTTTTCTTAACTAAGGAAACCTTTTAAGTTATTCTGTGCAACACCTTCAAGTAACTCCCTCAGCCGAGGAGAAAATCAACCCTAAGTGTCAGACTTAAGTAGGAAACTTAAGGTGTTTTGTGCAGCTGGCCCCTGGAACTCACCTGTGGAGTTGAGGGAGTTTGCCACCTGCCAGCCGAACAGCCTGGACGGGTCCAGAGGGTGGAGCGACTGGAAAACACACCAGGTACAGTTACTTCCTGTGTTTTCAGCCTCACTGTGACACACGCGACCCGCTGTAACGAGCAGGACGATTACAATGCTAACGAGCGACTACAGGTACGGTTCAGGTGTGAGCGCACCTGCAGGAGGTGGTAGACGGAGACGTCGGAGGAAGGGCTGTGTCCTCGGGGCCCGGCGGGGAACAGGGCGGCCTTCAGCTTGGAGTGGGGGGCCAGCGCCATCTTCAGGAGCTGAGGGTCGACGGTTCGTTCTGACCTTCCTGACCGTTCACCCTGAGCCACCACCTGCGAAGAGGGAGTCATTTATTCTCTCCGTTATCTGTGAGTAACCGGGGGCGACGCAGTAAAAGCTGTGGGAGGTCTTACTGATCCAGGCTGTAGGATCAAAAACTCTCGACCGTGAAGAAATCAAAGGATCTCACACGCTGCTGATCACTGTCTGTGGTCGAGGTGCATTGTGGGTAATGCGAGTGCCAGGTTTTGATAAAGAAGAAGACGAGTGTGAAATAAAAAAATCTATATTTCTGAATCAGTCTCATAACATTCATTAAACATCAAACACTTATTTCTTCAGCTTTTCCTTTGATTTGTAATTTGATTTAAAACCTCGTTTCTATTAATCAAACGATGTGATTTTCCTCCAGATCCAAAAAAATGCAGAATATTAGTAACTATAATATACTTTTATTTTGAAAACATTAATCTCCTCCAACTTTTAATATGTTCCTGAATTAAATATCTGAGTTTTTTACCTTTCGAGTTAATGTGGATGTTGGTCAGTGGAACAGAGGGGATCAGGGTTTGTGTGTTTACCTGGTCGATTCCTCCGGGGACGAACATGATGGCAGCCAGAGCGAGGAGACTGTGACCCTCTAACAGCAGACTGCTGAGCGACGCCTGGCTGCCTGGCAACAGCACCTGAGCGCTGGTTAGACTGGCCTGGAAGACCAGTGCCGGGTCTGGACCAGCACACAGACACAGAGACGGTCAGAAGACACAAACCAACGTCTAATGAAACTGAGATGAAGTGAATTAAACTTAAAAAGACAAAGTAAAAAATGAACTAAATCAACTTAACCAAATGAAATTTAGGTTAAAAAAAAAATCCTTGAACTAAGGCTGCAATTAAATATTATTTTTATTATTAATGAATCTATTAATTCCTTTTTCAAATCCTCAATCTATGATTTAAATAAAACAAAATAATGAGGAGACGTCATCAGACCATCAGAGATATTCAGTTCACATTTGAGGAACCAGAGAAGGTTTGAGATCTTGTTTCATTAAAGGAACTAAATGATTTGATGTTGTTTTAATAAATGTTGTTTTATTATAAGTTATTATAAAGGAGGGAGTTCAATCCTTTCAATACTTCTATTCTCTGAGCTGAATGTTGCTTCAGACAAGTGCAATTTTCAACTGCATCTTATATTTATATAGAATATTTTAACTATCACTTATTCCTTTTATATATATAGTAGTCATATATCGTAGTATAAGTATATTTTTACATTTTATGCTTATATTTCATCTTTATAATATTACTTTTTATTCTCTATTTTTACATTTCCCCGAGGATCAATAAATTCTGATTCAAATAGTCAAACACGGCAATTAATCACAATACGATTAGCTAGACATAGTTAGTTAATAGGCTTTTAGCTGTAGTTTAGTTTAGTTTAGTTTAGTTTAGTTTAGTTTAGTTTAGCTGTAGTGTAGTTTAGTTTAGTTTAGTTTAGCTGTAGTGTAGTTTAGTTTAGTTTAGTTTAGTTTAGTTTAGCTGTAGTGTAGTTTAGTTTAGTTTAGTTTAGTTTAGTTTAGTTTAGCTGTAGTGTAGTTTAGTTTAGTTTAGTTTAGTTTAGTTTAGTTTAGTTGAGTTGAGTTTAGTTTAGCTGTAGTTTAGTTTAGTTTAGTTGTAGTTTAGTTTAGTTTAGCTGTAGTGTAGTTTAGTTTAGTTTAGTTTAGTTTAGCTGTAGTGTAGTTTAGTTTAGTTTAGTTTAGTTTAGTTTAGTTTAGTTGAGTTGAGTTTAGTTTAGCTGTAGTTTAGTTTAGTTTAGTTGTAGTTTAGTTTAGTTTAGCTGTAGTGTAGTTTAGTTTAGTTTAGTTTAGTTTAGTTTAGATTAGCTGTAGTGTAGTGTAGTTTAGTTTAGTTTAGTTTAGTTTAGTTTAGTTGAGTTTAGTTTAGCTGTAGTGTAGTTTAGTTTAGTTTAGTTTAGTTTAGCTGTAGTGTAGTTTAGTTTAGTTTAGTTTAGTTTAGCTGTAGTGTAGTGTAGTTTAGTTTAGTTTAGCTGTAGTGTAGTTTAGCTTTAGTTTAGTTTAGTTGAGTTGAGTTGAGTTGAGTTGAGTTGAGTTGAGTTGAGTTGAGTTGAGTTGAGTTGAGTTTAGTTTAGTTTAGTTTAGTTTAGTTTAGCCGACTGCAGGAGCCGATGCTGCGGCCGTCAGGTACCTGACAGGTCTCTGGTGATCTCCTGAATCTTCACCAGCATCTCAAACCAGGGCTGACTCTCAGACAGGCTCTGATTGGTCAGGAGGGGGCAGTTCCTGGGCGTCAGTCTGTGGAGAAGAGACGCAGCTAATTAACTTACTGACTGACAATTTCCAACAAACTGAGAAGCTGTAACTGGAATATATACCACACACACACCTGTAGTGCTCCAGGTAGGTGTAGAGCAGGTACTGGAGGCCGTGCTCCAGACAGAAGGTGATGAAGAGGCCGTGGAGGTCGAGGCCGAGGGAGGAGCGGTACTGAGGGACGGGAGGAGCTGAAGCCATCACCCCTCCCCCCTGAGCCAGCCTCCACAGCAGCTGCTCCAGGTCTGCCAGCTCCTCAGGGATGAACAGGCCTCTCCTGGAGGGAGATACAGACACAGACCCAGAGGAGGGAAACAGGAAGTACGTCAGGCTTCAACCCAGATCATCACCTCTTATTTAAAGTTCTTAAAAACCAGGAATCTTTGTTTGTCGAGGCTCCAAACAGCAAGAAGAGGCAGCTCACAAACTTCACTTCCAAACCCCAGAACAGTGACGTCCAGCTGCCGTACCTGGCCAGCAGGTCCAGGATCTTCTCCCTCATGTAGGAGCTGCAGAGCGTGTTGCTGTTGACCACCTCTGGGGCTAACTCCGGCCACAGGGAGGCGTCGCTGGTCTCCTGGTTCTGGATCCAGCTGACCACCCGGCGCTGGTCGTGGAGGGCGGTCAGGTAACGCCACAACACCGCCGAGTCACAGGAGCTCAGCTCTAACCAGGAGAACAGAGAGGTTTTAAAATCACGGCGGGACCCTCGTCCTGTTCTGGTTTTGGGGGTGTGGTGTTTCTACCTGAGTGCTGCAGTCTGGACAGGAGGACGGCGGTCTGGCAGTTCTGGTCCCAGTTCCTCACCCAGTCCAATCTGAGGTTCCTCCAGAGCCCCCCCTCCTGGTCAGACCTCCTCTGTCCCACCAGCTCCTCCAGCACCTCCTCACCAGCTCCCGTCTCCCTTTGAGACATCTGAACGAGCCTGGACAGAAGAAGGGGGGGGGGGTCATTTCTACCAGGAGCACAAAGACTCACATGTTCATACAGGTGTCAGCGTCGTTACCTGTGCGCTGTGGGACTTCCTGGGCAGCGGGACGCAGGCAGCGATCCCAGCCTCTCCATCTCCCTTATGAAGGCCACACTCTGCATCTCCTCCTCGGGGAAATAACTCCGCCTCGACAGCTCCTCCACCTGGACAAGCAGCCAATCAGAGACAGCCCACAAAGACTAGTTAAGATAAAGGGCAGAGCGCCGCCGCCAGGTGAGCTTCACTGGGGAGTGTCGAGTTTATCAACTGGAACAAACGCTCAGAAAAATGTGAAGTTCTCCGCTGGAGGAGATGGACACTCCTGGACTCCAAATCCCATGATGCCACTGTGGTCTTTGGCTTTCTTTTCAAGTTAAGAGTTTTTGATCCAATGCACCAGACGCTTTTAGCTGCGCGAGAACTTACAAACTGAAACTCACTGAAAAAGCAAATGTTCTGGAGACGTGTCAGAGACATTACTTTAATAAATACTGTATTAAAGACAGACGCCGTCAGGCAGGAAGAAGATCGTAGCGGTTATTTTCACTGTAAGACGCCAAACTCACCACAAACTCCCTGAGGTCCTTGTCATCGGTGTAAAGACTGAAACTGTGCAGCTGCTTCTTCACACTGAAACCCTGAAAACAGACAAACAACTACAGTTTCCTCTTTGACCAAAAACAACAAAAAGCTGCTGTTAATTTGACTTTAATTAGCTTTTAATCAGCTGTTTTAGCTAAAGTTATTATTCTATCATGTATACTGTTTGTTGAGGGAACGCCTCAGGGGAGGTAAACAGGAAGCAGAATCAGTGTCACATCCTCAGACAGTCATGATATTAGCACAACAAATCACTGGCACTCGGTCACCATCACTGAGGACATTTACAGAACTGTATTCGACTCATCTCGTCCAGGTCACCACCTTCTCCCCCGGCTGTTCTCTGGAAGACGCTACAGGTCCTTAAAAACTCACACGTCCAGATTCCTGACCAGTTTTTATCCAAGTGCCATTAGAGAACGAAATATTATCTTTCCAGGTACTTATTCTGCTTATACCTCCCTTTACTGATTGTTTTTATTTACAGACTGAAATGTGTCTACTTGTCTGTAGTTGTGTCACTGTATGTACCCCTCACTCTTTAAACACTCTGAAGTGTTTTAAGTGTTTTAAACACTGATGGTGACTTCCTGGTCTGGACCAGTGACACAGACTCTTTGCTTGTTCCCTAAGATGTTGAGCTGCTCCTTCAACATGTTAGCATACCAGCGTTAGCCTTTAGATGTGCATGTGTGAAATTAAAGGATAAAAGGAGTTTTGATTGGCGGATTGTTCCCTGCAGTGACGAGCTCTGACCATGTTGGTGAGCAGGGTGCTGGCGGTCTGCAGGTCTCGCTGCTGCAGGCGGGAGAACACCTGCCGCAGACCCTCCATCCTCAGAGCCGACAGACGCTGCTCCGGGCGGCTCCGCCTCCTCAGGACGGCCTGAGCTCTGGGGATCTGATTGGTCAGGATGGATTGGCGGACCACTTCCTGTAGACAAAAGTGTGAAAAGACACACACACACACACACACAGTTGGGAAACATGAGGGGACACATATGGGCATTTTCCTGTGAGTGATGTGACTGAGTTTGAGTGTCACCTCTGTGGGCAGCTGCTCCCACTCGTCCTCCTGCGCCTCCTCCTGAGCAGGAGCAGCAGAGTCGATGCTGGAGGTGTCGCCCCCCGCAGGCCAGGGAAACCTCTTCATGTAGGTCCTCAGTTCGGTGATGTACCGATCCAGAACGTCCACGCAGCTCCGCACGCCTGCATCCTCATCTGCAGACACAACAGACCACGGCTTCAAACTGGACCAACTACAGCTGAGGACTGAGGCGTGTGTGTGTGTGTGTGTGTGTGTGTTGTCGTACTGCGTGCGTTGGTCAGCACAGAGCGGATCTGTGTGTTGACGAAGTTCATGGTGATGTTGAGCAGCTGCTCTGAGAACTGTCGGCTCTGAGCTTCACTGTTCGAGTCTCTGACGGCTGAACACAGCAGGTCCAACGCTGGACACAGCTCCTGGACACCTGCACACACACACACACACACACACACACACACACACACACACACACACACACACACACACACACACACACACACACACACACACACAAAATTAACAATTAAAGCTGCTATCTCTATAATTTGCATGTGAATGTGTGAACGAAAAATACAACACAAGCATTTAAAAAGGAAGATAATCTCTTAAATAACTGTGATGTAAAAACAACAGAGTGTTCGTACTGTCTGTGAGAGCGGAGGCTGCCGGCGGATCGGCAGCACTGAACCCTGTCGACGGGTTCAGGACGTTTTCTTTGCTCTTCAGGTAGAAATCCACCGTGTCCAGCTGCCGGTTCTTCAGTCCGGCCTGAAACGACACAAACCAGCTTTAAAAACGACACAAACGTGACGATGTACAACGCTACGTGGCGCTGCAGCGGCGGAGCGGATGTGGCGACGTGTCGTTCTCCCACCTGCAGGGCGTGGATAGGGATGGAGCAGCGCCCCCAGCTGTTCAGGTGACACACTGCGTCCACTGTCGCCGCGCTGCCGAACAACATCAACCTGCTGAGCAAGTCCTGCTGGGAAACCGAGAACAAGACCTGGAACACACCGGCCTCTGGACGGACAGACAGACACAGAGGTCATGGTCGATGCCTTTTCTTGTTTTGGTGAATTGATTAAAAAACTAATTGCGTCTCTACTGTTTGTTTACTTCAGTTGTTTCTTACATTTCTGCACAGTGTAAAATAATCAGTAAAGCTTTATTCCTGTGCAGCGGAAAGACAATTATCTTTTGTTTTGTTTCTTTCTTTCATGCCGGCCCAATATTTGAGTCTGGTTGTGGAAGTCTGGGTCGTTAAAGGAACATTCTGATCCAAGGGTCATTGATGCAGAGTCCAGCAGGGAGACAGAGACATGAGCAGTCACATGATCCAATTAGTTGTAAACAAACCACCAGGTGGAAATAATTATGTGGAAGAGAAAACAAAGTTAAAATCAACTTCCCGTCTCCACTCTGACCTGTGACCCCTGAGGTGCTGCACACACAGTATTTCTACACAATGAGGAATTACAACCAAACATTTCAGATGCATCCACGTTCAGTTTCACCTTTAAATAATGAGGGAAACGTGTTTGTTTGCAAAGTGTTAAACTGTGAAAGAATATTTGTTCTGACTTACTCTTCAGCAGCAGCCTGTGCTGCCTCTCTCCACAGCGCTGAACCGGAGCCGCCGCGCCCTCCGCCTGGTGGTAGCTCACGCTCCCGGACTCCAAATCCCACGAGGCCACTGTGGTCTGTGCGTTGCCAGGGGAGACGAAGGTCAGGAGGGCAGAGAACTCGGAGACCGTGAGCAGGGATGGAGCGGACGACTTGGGGACGGAGAAAGCGACGGTCGCCCCGCCGCAAGGGACTCTGCTGTGGGCCAAGGATGGAGCCTGGTGGGACTCCAGGTGAGGGAGGGAGGAGGACCAGGATGTCCTTGCAGACTGGGAGGGGGAGGAGGAGGAGGAGGAGGAGGAGGAGGAGGAGGATGAGGAGGAGGTGGAGGAGGAGGCTGGAGTCTGCTGGGCTCTGCTGTACATGGAGGCCAGACGAGCTTCCCATGAGCTAGAGGTGAAGTTAGAGGAGAGAGTTCAGGATTAAAGGTCAGAGGTCAATCAAGAAAAGTTCAGAACTAATTAATTCAAACAACTAATTTTGATGAATCTGGGTTCTTACAGGAGAGTCTGAAAGATAAAATGAATTGGTTCGTTCATGAACTAGAGAGCTCCATGTCAGACTGCCATTCTCTCTGTGTTTGTTTTATTCCCAGCGTGTTTACGTTGTGGATTTCATCCTGATGTTCCCTAACGTGCACTGTCCCTCTCTACGAGCTGATCTTTGACTGAGATCAAATTTAGTTCTTGATCCTTTGACTTTTCCTCCAGCAACAACAAAATTTGTGACATTTATTCAAGGTCCCTGGAGGATCAATTTGAATAACTTAGGTGATCAGCTGACTTTTCTCCAATACCACCTGAAGGTCAAAGTTATATTTATCTTAGTTATAGAGTTCTCAGAGTTTCTGGGAAATAACTTATTTATATCTATTTTCATTTCTCATCTGTGAACTTAAACACAGGATCTTGTAGAGCCGGTTTTCTCTTAGTGTATAATCTATAAAAGTGAAGTCTGGTTTACCGGTCGACACTGAAGGTCGATCCGAGGGCGGCGAGGCTGCAGCCCGAGCTCGACACGCTGTCCTGGTCTCTTAGGTTCTGGGGCCGGAGGGGGGGCCGAGCAGGGGGGGCAGCACAGAGCAGGTGGTCTGGGAACATCCTGGAAGACAGAAATATCAATCTAAGTGATAATTTTTGTTTTTGTGTGATCTCACAGCAGAGCGAAGTCGGTCTCTGTCTGGTGCCGAACATAATTAACTCGCAGCAGAGTCACAGTGGACGGCGGCGGCGGCTCAGTGATCAGCTGATCTGATGAGCCTGTTCTTCCAGTTCACATCAGACCGGTGGGCCGAGATGAGTTTGGCAGAGCGGACGAACAGGCAGTCGGCCATGTCTCCCTCCAATCAGGATCAAATGTGTTCAGTGGGCAGACTCCACTGTTCCCACAGGACTTGAATCCTCATTCTGACAATGTTTCCTGAGTGTTTGAGGTTTTAATTAACATGAGAAAATTTGATTAAAAAAAACAATAACAAAAGAAAAAGATTCACTCGTGAAGTTTATCGTACATCCGTGACGATGTACAAGAGCTTGAAGGAAAACTCCCCAAACCGTCTTAGATTTAATCTAATCTTCTCTGTTCTGCTTTAGCCACTTCAACGTTAGATAGAAACTTTTGAACAGGTTTTTATTTTGTGTATCTGCATTGTGACGTTTTGTTTCATGTGACCTGCCTGGGGACAGCGGATGTAAATTTGCATTTCTGCTACAATCCGGCATCTTCACATTGTGTATTTTGTACTGATGTTCATTAACATGTGTTGTCCCTTTCAAAAAAACAAATAAATAAATAAATATAGAGGTTAATATGAATCCATGTCTGTCTAGATTACAGGATGCTAATTAAGATGAATTACTTTGCAAAGAAATGCAGGTTGTTATCTGCTCCTCCGCCATTTAAGTTGATAAATTCTCACAGTTTTTATGAAATGAAATCTTTATAAGGCAGATTTATGGGATCATTTTGGATGTTGGAGGTTTACCCAGAATGCATAGGGGATGCTGATACTGTTAATGTTAGGGGGTTGAGTTGTGTGTAGGTGCTGTGACCCGTTTTGATTTTGTGTCATGTGAAGGATGATGCTGCTTCACCTAAAGTAGTGGTTGAGGTCGACGCCCACAGCAGTGTGAGACTCGGTGACGGCTACGGCTGTGCTGAGATCAGCTGACACCTGGAGGTGGCAGAAGGAGGAAGATGAGGAGAAGGAGGGCGAAGAAGAGGAGGAGACAACGTCGTCCTCTGCCGGTCCAGAGCTCAGGTAGACAGGGAGGTCCACGCTGGCCAGCAGCCTGCCGTCAGTGATGTCACACACAGCTGGAGGGAAGGGTTAAAGAAAAGGCTGCTGGGACATTCAGACCAGCGCTAACTCCATAATGATCATATGTCACTTCAGCTGAGTCTGTAATTTTACCAAACGCTTGTGCTGTAGTTCACCAAGTTTACTTTAGTGTGCTCAAACTCCAGGCCTGTGTTTCTTCAGTTATTGGATCATTTCTGGCAGATCCAGGGTCAGTTCTCTATTATTAAATAATGCATCGTCCTTACAACATCCACTTAATTACCATATAAGTTAACATGCAGGTTTTGTTACAGCTAGTTTAGTCTTAGAGGTTAGCTGACTGCTAGCTTAGTTTAGCTCTGTTTCTATGGCTTTAGCTCAGCTTAGCATACTCAGTTTTCCATTATTAATTATTATTTTTTATCTAATTGACATAATGAACAAATGGTTAATAATCAGGCTGGTTCCAGATTGAATAGATTACACACAGCTTTGTTTTTAAAACGCAGTACTTTATCATACAAATACAATAATTACCCGTCACCTAGCAACACTGCTAGTCCAGATTTAGATTAGATTAATTAGAAATCATAAATTAGAAAAGATTGTTTTGTTTGTACCTTATTCTAGTTTTGTTAAAGCTCTTTCTATTGGTTTAGCTTAGCCTTGTGTGATTCAGCTTGGCTTCAGTAAGGCTATTTAGTTTCCTTTGGCTTCATTTAGTTAGCCTACTTACATTTAGTTAAGTTTAGTTGAATTGAGTTTAGCTAGCTAAATTAATTAATTCATTTAATTGTAGTTTTAATTAGTTAAGTTTAATTCATAATTCTTAGTTTATATTGGTTTCATGTAGTTGAGCCAAGTTTGATTTAATATTGTTAACTTCTTAGTTTAGTTCTTCGGTTTAGTTACTTTAGTTAAGCCTAGCTTCTTCAAGTTAAGTTTAGTTAAGTTTAGCTATGTTTTCATTTTACTTTAGCTTTTTAGTTTATCTCAGGTTTTTGCTTTGGTTTGCTTTTAGCTAATTAAGCTAATTTGTTCCATTTATCTTCGTTTAATGACTATTATCACTAGTAATAGAATTTAGTAGCAGTGGTGGTGGTAGTTGTGGTAGTTGTAATAGAAGTAGTAGTAGTGCAGTAGTTGTATCTGCTAGTGGAGGATACATATGAGTCCGGTGGAGCTGAGGGTGAACAGGGTTTCTCTGCAGACACAGTGGTGGACAGCTGTGTGTCTGTTGCTGTCAGTCAGCTGGAGGCTGCAGCAGGATAATATCTGCAGCTCCTCCTCCACCTGCTGCCACTGCAGCTGCAGCAGCCAATCAGCGTTCAGCAGCACGCAGCAGCGGCCAGCAGTGAACGACAACACACGCAGCGACTGCAGCTCACTCACACCTGGAAATAAAAGACATTTATACATTATTAATATGTATAACTGTAATTTTAAAGCATTAGATATGTGCAGTCTCAGATCACTACGACCAGACTCTGTCCTGGTGACGGAGATCTGGTTGTGGTACTCACTGTGGTCCTGCTCTCTGACGGTCTGCAGCAGCCGGTCTGCAGGACACTCAGAGACACACAGCAGAGAAATGGAGGCCGATCGTTCTGCCTCCACCTCCAGCAGCTTCAGGTCACACTGAGATCCAACGGCCAGGAATCTGAAGCTGCCGACGCCTTGACTGTGGACGATCACTTCCTCCCAGGAAAAACTAGAAACAGGAAGAAAACAAAACAAACGAAAAGTTGAAATTCAATATTAAAATAGTTAATTTTATGAGTCATGTAACTAATTTAGCCAATTCTTTAACATAGTGTGGATTTTTCCATCTGTGTGGTGTAAAATTAGTCACTCGTCAAACTTTAAAATGAGAGCATCCAAATATTCAATTAAATATAAATATGTTAATACAACATTAATGGATTAAGTCTACACCTTTCTGGTCATGGATAAAATCCATTTTTACATTAGTTCTCTATTTTGAGAGTGTTTTTTACTACACTTCATATCTTTTCATTTTGTATAATTCCTTTATCTTAATTAAAGAAATAAAATAAATAAATACATAAAAACTGATAAATCAATCAATGTCAATTTATCAGATTTAGTAACTCAAAGCATTGTGCATAGTCAACGCTGGATAACCAACTGCCCAGGGGCCTGAAAACACCCACACTGGCTCCATATCATTTGAGTCTACATAAAAAAAGTCTGGTTGTGTGTTGTAACGCGTTTTATAAAATTGCTTTAATGTTTTCAGGTAATTAATTACATAAAACCTCAGGTTACAGAAATACTGTCAGGCTGTAATCAACAATTACCTTCATTATCAATACACCTGACGATTATTTTCTTTAATGATCAGCTAATTGTTCAAATAAAGTGACAGAAAACAGTAAGAAATAAACTCATTAATCACTGACGCACAAGTTCACAAATACAAATTGCAGTTTGTTTGTTTGTTTTTTTATCAACAGTTAGAATACAAGATGTTACGTTTACCGCCATTAAAAAAATTGGAAAATAAGCAAATATTTACATTTCAGAATCGTTTTCAAGAAGCGAATAAATTATTAAAATTGGTGTTAATCAATTTCTGCTGATTGAGGAATTGATTGGTAGATAGAGTAGCTGTTTCTGGGAAAATAATGAAACTGATGTAGGGTGGGGGTCAAAAGGGGCCCAACAACCGATCTCTGCTCTGGGGCCAACCAGGAAGTTAATCCAGCCATGTAAACATACGTCACAAAGCGTCATATTTACCCTCAGTACATGATGTTCATGATTCTTAATTACTTTACTATTTAATTTACTCTGCCGGACTCACTCTCTGCAGCAGCCGTCCACCGCAGCCGGAGGAGCCTCTCTGTCCGCCGGGTCCCACACCACCAGCCGCCCCCGGACCCCGAGACAGCCGAGCAGGGAGCCTCCAGGAGCGAGCTGAGCCTTGTGGATGTCCGCTATCTCTCCACAGTGCTGGTTCTCCGGGATCACAGCCCACCTCTATGGAGTCACTCTCCCGCCGCTGAGCCGCCTCCAACATCTTCACGCGCTGAACGGACAGTTTGTTAAACAGCCTGGGGGGGGTGGGGTGCAGGGCGGGATGCAGGGGGCTGGAGGGGGTGAGGTGAGTTCAGCGACAGGAGCGACGACACCTGAACATGGATGTATCATGAGACCATCAGACTACTTCGGACATTTCTTCCTGTAAACAGCAGCTCGGTCACGTGTCACGTGCCCTCCTGTCAGCTGACTGAAGCTGACCAATAGAAAAACGGTAGAGAAACACTAGAAACAAGTCAACTCAATCGAATGACGATGTTGGTTTACTGATCACCAATTCCAAAAGGTAAATCACATAAAACTGAAATTCATGAGAAATTTAATTGAGTTAAATAGGAATTTTAGTGTAATTGTCAGATATTTTATATTCATGTTATTTTCATATTTATGTTTTTATAAGTTTTATAAGTCTTTTCTTTTTTGTATTTGGTTAATGTGATTATCTGACCCTGTGCTGTTGTCCATAATAACGCTGTTACAGCATTAAAATAAAATAAATAAAAACCCTCAAAGTTGTGAAAACTGAATTTTTAACAAAACTGATTTAATTTTATTTTGTAAATGTATTCTTACATTTATTTACTTGTATTGTTTTGCATGATGCTGCAAATTTATGGGGTAAATGCAATTGCTGAATATAATATGTTTTTATTTTCATTGGTAACAATTTACAGAATACAACAACACCAGTAACATAAAACAAACTAAATAAAACAGTTAAAAAATCTAGATGAATAAGACCATATTTGCTAATAAATAAGACAAAAATAAATAAAACATTTAAAAAAATAACAGCATTTTCAAATAGCTATGTTCTTTTTATTTTGAGCGATAGTAGAGATGCTATGGAGCAACATGTGAGGCTACATGGGAAAGTGGTCTCACACTTTGACACCACTGTATATAAACTAACCCTATACTGAGAGGTGTTCCTAATATTTTGTCCATCCCATTTATTGGAATCAGATTTGACAAAATTAGGCTCAAAATAATTTTGAGCTTATAAAGTGATGTTTACAAATAATTCCAATATTTGTAGTTGGAAATCAAACTTTGTAAAACCTGGAAAATAAATCTGCATGAGAAATTCAAGTTTGTGTATGTGAAAACAAATTGTGCTTGTGGCAAAGAGATTTGTATTTGTTGAGACTGTGTGGATCAAAACTGAACTAATGATCAGTGGTGGTTAAACAAAGACACAGGGAAAGAAGAAATGCTTTGTGGACATCTGTGTGCAGAGATAAAGAGCAGAAAACTGTAAAACTCAGTGAGCAAGATTCCCAGTGTGAGACACTGACAAGGACAGATTTTGATCCTTGTCACTTCAGTGTCACTGTGGGAACTTTTGACCAGAGTTTTACTGTTTTCTCTGTATCACAACACAGATGTTGACAAATCCATTTCTTCTTTTACAGTGTCTTTCTTTAACATTGATCATTTGTGGAGTTCTGATTCAGACTGTCAACAAATACAAATCTCTTCAACACAAGTGCAATTGTTTCACATACGCAAACTTGAATTTCTCCTGCAGATTTATTTTACAGGTTTACAAAAGGTTGATTTACAACTACAAACATCAAGAAAACTTGAAACTAGCGAGTCAGACCATAAACACGAAACGTTTACTGAGGTAACAAATCAAGTGACAAGTAGCTTCATTTTCCCATAGACTTCAATACAATCGGACTTGTTTTTGCAACCAATGGAGTCACCACGATGGTCAGTCGATAGAAAGCAAGTTCTGGCACTTCCGTATTGGCTTCATTTTCCAGACCCGGCGTTGACGTCCATTTTTATTTACAATCTATGATCACATAGCTGTTTTTAAATTATGTCAAGATAGTTAATCGATAGCTTTTCCTTGAAACCAAAACAGGAAGTGAAAGCCACACGGAGCCGCTCATTGGCTGCGATGAAACCCGCTGATCTCTACACAGTCACACAGACCGGGCTGATGTTGACGTGGTTTCACGTGGAGGTAGAGATCTGCTGAATTCCCGCGCTGCTGTCCGGTCACTGCAGTCTGTTTTCCTGTCAAAGTCACAACATCTCGTCTCTGTTAATATGGCGTTTTCCCAAAAATGGAAATAGCCTTCAGCCTTGTATCGTTAACAGTCACTAAGATTTTACAGTTTTCTGGACTCGCATACAACAGGAATGACCTGAAGACCAAGAAGATGGAGGAGAAAGCGTTAGAAGTGTACGGTGAGTGCGGCCGGAACAGGCCTACCGTGCTGCAGGGACGTTGTCAGTGAAGTTAGGTTAACTACTTTAATGTTATTTAACGAGATAACACTCGAGACACTCAACAGTTCCTCGAATGAGTGTGTATAACAGCAGACCAGACTCCATTCAAACATACGTTAAAAATGGCGCTTTCTTCGGTTCACTGACTGGAGACGTTCAAAGTCAGAGAACACGGTTAAACTACTAAATAACTTGTAATACAATTGCGCAAACAGCGCCGAATAAAACAGTCATGTGCCGAAGTGTTGCGTATGTAATGAACGTAACTGAGGTGTATGAAGTAGTAATGACAAGGTGCAATCACTGAAGGAAAAGTTAAATACATGATTTTCAAAATGGAGTTTGGTGTGGTTGTGGTGAAGGGGGTTACTGGTGGTACTGAATCCTAATATACGATTTTCTCAATGGAGTTTGACTCACGTGATACAACAAATACAGTCTGGTCTGATTGTAGTGAATGGCAGGTATTGGGACCACTTCTAGTACCAAACCCAAATAGATGATTTACTGTATGGAGTTATGTGCAACTGTAGTAAACAGCACGTACTGGGTTTTTTATTATTAAAGTGGAATTGAACTAAAATAGGTGATTTTCTGACTGGAGTTTGGTGTGATTGGAGTGAACCGAACATATTGGAGTTAATGCTGGAGTTATGTGCAATTGTAGTAAACAGCACATACTGGGTTTTTTATTAAAGTGGTATTGAACTAAAATAGGTGATTTTGTGACTTGAGTTTGGTGTGATTGGAGTGAACCGAACATATTGGAGTTAATGCTGGAGTTATGTGCAACTGTAGTAAACAGCACATACTGGGTTTTTTATTATTAAAGTGGAATTTAACTAAAATAGGTGATTTTGTGACTTGAGTTTGGTGTGATTGGAGTGAACCGAACATATTGGAGTTAATGCTGATGCAGAACTCAAATAGATGATATCCTGACTGGAGTTATGTGCAATTGTAATAAAGAACTCATACTAGGATTTAAAGTGGTATTGAACTAAAATAGGTGATTTTCTGACTGGAGTTTGGTGTGATTGGTATAAACAGCACATACTGGGATAAACAATGGTGCTAAACGTAAACATACTGGAGAATAAATAATTGATTTTATAATGGAGTTTGGTTTTATTGGAGTGAACCAAAAATTTTGAATTATACTGATGCAGAACTCAAATAGATGATTTCCTGAACGGAGTTTGGTGTGTTTGTAGTTAACAGCACAAACTGGGACCTGGACTCATGCAGAACTAAAACAGATTATTTCTGAATGGAATTTGGTTGGAGAGAGGTTCCCATTGGGACCAGTACTGGTACAGGACTTAAACAGATGAATTACAGATTGGGGTTTTGGTTTACTTGGAA